TGTACTCCTCTAGAGTACTATTGGTATTTGGTGGGGATATGTTATTTTGGTTTTTCATGTTATTATTTTTTTCTCTGTGATTTAGACATGTGAATTTGTTTTGTAGTTTGTGATTCTGTGTGAGACTCAGGCATTCAAGTTTAGGTCTGCTTCTTTGTGTGAACTTTATGTGTCTTTGTGGTTTACTTTTTGGGCGTGAAAGGCTGTTTCCTCTAAGCTTCCAGTTCTCTCTTTTGATTTTATATTGGAGAGACCAGATTGCTTTTGTCTTCAGGAGTTCCCACAGAGGCCCAAGTCAGATGAGGATCAAATGCTCTTAGTCTTTTTTCTAAGGTCTGGATCCCTCCAGGATAGCTTTTGGCCTCAGAAATTTGGGGGCTGGACTGGACTGGGAGATGATCCCAGGAAAGATGCTGGTCTAGGGCAGCTGTTGGCTATTCCACCCAGAGATGCAAAGGAAGATGGGGGCGGAAGTTGGCTCCAAGGACCCCTGGGGACTGCACTGAGGAGCTGGGTTGTTCTGGATGGAAAGGACCAGGAAGAGGAAAGGTCAGCCCCTGCTTCAGGAAAAAGGTTGGAGGGTTGTGCAGACCCAGGGGGGAAGAGGGAGGTGCGGGCACGGTCAGGCCTAGCGTGTCCCTGAGGACCGGAGAAGGAACTGAGTTGGTCTGGATGGACAGGATCGGGAAGCAGTGGTGGTTCCCCAGGTGTCCTGGGCGCCAAGAGAAGGAATGGGACAGGATCCAGATTAGGAGGAGAGACCAGCGGGGGAGATGAGAAGGTGAACGAGGCAGGGGGAGTCAATGCACAGAGGGAAAGACCGACTTACCTAGGACAGAGAAGCCTGCAGAAGCCTGCGGGTTGGAGAGAGACCTGCGAGTCCTGCAGGCCCAGGGAAGCAGAGGGAGGTGAGGGCGGGCCCAGGCCCAGAAGCAGTGCTCCTGGGGACCTGAGAAGGAACTGAGTTGCTCTGGATGCACAGGATCAGGAAGAAGCAATGGTGGTTCCTCAGGTGTCTGGGGCACCAAGGCGAGGAATGGGACAGGACCCAGGCTAGGAGGAGAGACCGGCGGGGGAGATGGGACGGCGAGTGAGGCTGGGGGTGTCAAGGCACGGAGGGCCCTATCGACCTACCTTGGAGAGAGAAGCCTGCGGGCTCCTTCTTTATCTTTTACGTAGTCTAATTTTGTCTATTATAGCCCTTAACATATTAATTACAGCTGTTTCAGTTATTGAGTCGATAATTCCAAACTTTCCTATCAGAGTCTGGTTCTTACGAAAACGTATGTCTTCAAACTGTATTTTTTATTTTGTATGTCTTGTTGCAAGCCAGACATGATGTAATAGGTAAAAAGAACTGAGGTACATAAACCTTTAGCGTGAAGTTTTATGTTCCTTTGGCCAGGGTTTAGTATGTTTTTCTCTTTCCTCTTATCTTTGGGTTTCCATTAGAGACTCAGTGAATTTTTCTGTTCTTTTTGTCAGAGTGGGTCCTGTTGTTGTACAGAAGCCTTGTTGATATAGTGGTAAGGTGTCGGAGGAGGGGAAGTGTTCCATAAGTCTTATGATTCTTTGTCTTCTAGTGCAATGTACCCCTGACCTTTGACTCTTCCAAGTGCTTCTCAGTTTTATACTTGATGTCCCCTCTTATGAGACAGTTAAATGCTTTCCTCTTCTACCCAGTTCTACCACTGGTAAAACTGTAGTAGGTTAGGATAAAATGGCTTCTTTTAAGAGCAAAATGCTCTGGGCATATGGTAATTTTTCTTCCACATTTGCCAGAAGCATGAATGCATGAGGAAATTTTTTCTGAGATCTCTACTCTGGGAAACTGATAGGATGCTCAAGGTAAAACTAAGAAAAAAAAAAACCCAAACAATAAAACATGTGGGTTTCTCATGGGATTGGGGCACTTAGTAGTTTTTAACTCTGCAACTCATACATATTACGTCCTAGCAGTTTTCACACTTACAAATTCAATTTCCATATGCTGATACTAGTTTCCATGGAGTTTTCTGCTTCTTGAGCTTCTGCTCCAAAGTTTTGACCTGTAGCAGCCTTTTTGTCCCTAAAGTTTTGGCAGCATCAGTTTGCTTCATGATCTCAGTACTTTGGCGAATCTTCAGAGTTGATTTTCAGTTTGTTCTGCCTTTTTCCCCCATAGTGTGCCTTGAAGATGATTTCCAAATTTCTTATATACTACACCAGCATGCAAGAGAATTTTGGAAACCTGAAAGTTTTTCTTTCTACAGTTTTGATCACTTGAAAACTTTCCGTAGTGATGACTTTTTAATTAATATGCCTTTTTATTTTTTGTTTTTTTTTTTAATTCCAAAGACAGGCAATTTTTAACAGGTTACATAAAATTATGTACACAATGAAGTTTAAGGGGGGAAAAAGAGGAATAAGAAATCAAAGACCAAAGGATTTGCCAACATGGGGGCAGCTTTGGTAGAATAATGGCTTCCATTATCTCTTTTTTTTTTTTTAATCCCAAGAAGATTATTGGGTTTGCTAACAGAGCACAATGTGGGGGTTTATTTACAGAAGAGTGCTCCACCCCATTTACAGCTGCGTTGGAAAATTCACACTCAAATATAGAGCCTATGATTTCCCGACAGCTGCACAAAGTGGCAAGAGAGGTGCCTCATGGCGTTCTTGGCTTATATATCCTTAGCCCTTCCCCCACATACAGCCAACATCAACTGATTGGTTGGGAAGGGTAATTGACTCCTCATTGCATGGGAAGGAGGTGTAACTATAGCTTGCCGGCATAGTGGTTGGAAGACACTTCCACTTAATACTCTACCCCTTCCTCCAGCTCTTACATTCTTTCTGCCAACCTCTTCCACAAAAGTCCCTGAGCCTTGGAGGGAGTGATGTGTGTGAGAGGATCTTTCTCCCATTGTGATATGCCTTATTTTTAAAGAAGGTAAATGGTAAATTCTGTTGGAAGGTTAATTATTCAAAAAAGATGAACTATTGTTCATGTTTAATTTTTTAATAGATCCAAAATGCCCAGGAGATGTTGATTTTCAAAATAGTGACTGGGATATTAAGACAATCACCAGCTCCTTGAAATTCTACCTCAGGTATGCCTTATATGAACTGGGATTATGCTTTTCATGATTGATGAAATCTGTCTGGGTTGATAGTACAGTTGATGTAGTTTTAGTTTTAGGAATGTGGATAGGAGAGTTCTCAGTAAAAGAACAGAGAGTAAGGAGAATTTCTATTTAAAAAGAAGGTGTATTAGAAGATTTTTTTGAGGCAGGGTCTCAATATGTATCCCAGAGTGGACTGGAACTTGTGATAGTATCCTCCTGCCTCAGTTAGACTTATAGGCATATGCCATGTCCCTCATGTCCTGGCAGCATTTTTACCTGAGAATTACAGCATAGAAAGCAAGAAAATTAGATTTTTATTGAAAAATGCATTATTTCAAAAAAGTCATGCTTTGGGAATAGAGCTCAGTGATAGAGTCTTTGTTTAGCTTGCAAAAGACCCCATAGTCAATCCTCAATAAAAAAATGTTCTTTAAATAATGTAAGAAGGTTGCCTGGATTCACAGAGTTGATGTCATGATGAGTTCACTAGTACAATAATGAGTTATGTGCACATATTTTAGTTGGTAACAAGCATTTTGAAACCTGTAGTTGAGTTGGGGAGAGAGGGACAGTTGGGGAAGGAGGGGGAGAGGGAGGAAGGGAGAGAGAGAGAGAGCAAGAATGGATATGTCATGCTATCATGATTCAATTCATATAATTAAAATAGATAAACAAGAAAATATAATGTTTGAGATGAATGAAGTATCAACAATAAGAAAGAACACATTAATTTACCCACAAAATCTTTGAGAATACACAGAACTGATGAAATTATTGTTCTCTTGCTGACATAAATATATATTAATTAAAAGGTATTTGATTTCATATATATACTTATGTATATGCATTAATTTTTTGTTACGATTATTTATACCCTATAATATGCTCCATAGTTACATGCTCATGTATCTTCTTTTCAAATTTTGTGATCTTTTAGTATTAAGATAGATATTTAAACTCCAGACTATATCAATAATCCAAACAGTTGGGTCATGATATTGCTGTTAAATGGCTTTACATTATAGAATCATCTTTATGTAGTTATAGCTTTATATAAACATGAATGTTCTTTCCAGAAACATTTATCCTGTATCTGCCAAAGAAAGGAACTGATATTGGAGGGTTTATTCTGTCCTAGGGAGTGTGCCAGTTGCTTATGTTGACATTGATATTTTTAATATCAATAACTGTGTATCATAGGTGGTGCACTACTCCTTTTACAGATGAGGAAATTGAGGTACCTCCTTCTCCCCCAAAATAATGTCCATATTATTTTTCACACATAAATGCCTGGCTTAGAAGGCTGTTGGTCTAGGACACCTTTCCATAACCCATGTTATCATGGCCAAGGATTACTGGGTAATGACCTGTCATGGGATTACTTGTATAATTTAGCAAATACAGAGTTTAATCTTATACAAATACTTTAAGAATTTGGATAATGAAAGTAGCAAGGGAGTGATGCTATGTCTATATCCCTGTTGAAATCTTTTTAAAGATGTATTTCAAAGGCTTCTCTGATTTAAATCATTTCCAGCTCATGCCATAATCAGCAGTGTGGCCCTCTTTAAAGATGGGAAGATCAAGCCTAAAAGTATGAGTGGTCGATAACTTTAGGAGGAGTTTTGCATCTGTGGGACTATAATATGCACCAGCCAGTTTTCACTATTTGCTGATTTATTTAAATATATTTTTAGGAAAGGAAGGGTTTATTTTGGTTTATGGTTTAAGAAAGAATACAATTAGTTCATCATGGCAGGGAAGGGATGTGAGCAGGAGCATGAGGGACTGGTCACAATGTGTGTGTGATCAAGATATGGAACTTATTTTTACTTTTGTTTATATAATGCTTAATATCAGGGAGAAAAGAAGGTAAGAAGAGTGCTCTGAAAGAGTTTGAAGGCATAATCCCTTTACTGGTTGTATATGGTGGCAAGGGAGAGTCATCTAGTCTGTGTGAATAGATAGAATAGGAATTGATTAAGAATAAAGTGAACATGCTAGATCAGGATGACATTTGGATTAGTTGAGAACTGTTTATTAAGAAATTAGGTGCAGGGCACTGGAGAGATGGCTCAGCAGTTAAGAGCACTGGCTGTTCTTACAGAAGGCCGGGGTTCTAATCCTATCACACACATGGCGGCTAACAACTGTTCATAACCCCAGTTCCAGAGGATCTGGCTCCCTCTTCTGTCCTCTGCAGGTATTGCATGACACAGGTGCACTTATATGCATGTAGGCAATATACTGATACACATAAAATAGGAATAATAAATAAAATTTAAAAAAAGAAATTAGATGCAGGGCCCTTCTTGTTATAAGAAGCAGAGGTGGAAATTATGATGGAACAATGCTGCTTAATGCCACAAGAACAGATACCCCTTGCTCCAGGCGAGATGACTAACTGACAGCAAACAGCTATACAAGGTCTTCTAATAACTTTTTTTTGTCCAGCAGTATATACAGGGGAAATAGTATTGAATCAATGGCCAAAATATCAACATGCATGTAGTACATATAAAATATTTATTTTCCATCTGTGTGGGAAAATGGAAAGTTCTGACTCCAGTGAGCCCACATAGTAGTTTGTGAAAGTAAAGATTGATGCTGTTTATATAAAAATAAAGGCAATGCCATGCAAATACAGGTTGATTATGTGACCCATTTAGTATGAAAAAAGTCAATTCATTTTCATTTCCTGGCCTCTATGCATATTTGAGTTTACAAGCCTCCCAGTATAGTAAAAAGAGAAAGAGGCCATGACAAAATTCCAGGGTAGAATGCCCAGAAAGGGGATTGCCAAGAATGACCAAAGTGATTAAAAGAAAAAAAAAAAAAACACAATCAAGTGATGTGGCAAAATTGACAAGATAAGCTTCAAGGAGGCTTGCTAACAGCTCCAAATGCCGCAAAGAAGTCAAGGTGCAGAATGACAGTTGTCCTTTGTGTGCAGCATTGAGGGAGTCGCTGATGAAGTTGGTAAAAGCAGCTTCAGTGGAGTCAGATGATAATGGGTTAAAGAGTGAACTAGGGGACTTGGGCTAAGAAGTAGAGATCACATGTGCTACATTACTTCCTACAGAATCCTGGCTGGGAAGGATACAATAATCTTGTAATCTTGTTTAAGCAACTGCCTCTGTTACCTATATGGTCAGCAATTCCCCTCAAGTTTTATTTCAAGCCCAGAACCCGTCACTTGGTTTCAGTCCTGCTTCCCCTTACAGGATCAACAGAAAGATCAAATAGGAGAACAAATACAAAAGGGCTTTGGAAATTCTTCAGACCCATCAAGTTGTAAGGGGTTGATGGTTACATTTAGTTTGAACTTGTCAGGAGTAGTATGCATTTCCTTTTACTTTGGGGAACTAATTGAAGACCTTGCTAGAAGCTTCAGCCTGTTAAACTTGAATCCCTCTGGAAAAGCTTCTATGAAGAGGTAAATGTATGTAATCGTAGTAAACCGTTGGGGGTGGGGGGCTTACTCTTCTTAGAACTGAGAATCCAAGTTCTGGTTCCTTTTTCTTTCTAATGTACAGTCTTCATTTATTTCACTTAGGAATCTTTCGGAACCTGTCATGACCTATAAGCTTCACAAAGAGCTTGTCTCTGCTGCCAGTAAGTATTGATATTACTAGCTACATTGTGTTGTCCTGGTTTCTTAGGAAGGTTTATGTCAATAAGCTAGAAAACTGGTTGAGAATAAAAGCCCAAAACACATACTCAAATTTTGCCCACTGCAAAATGAGAGTATTTCTGCTTCAGAGGTAGATGATAAACGTTTTAAAAATCAGTGTTGCATGGGTTCAAAAAATTGGCTAATTTTGAAGCATGTGGTGTATGTTTCTGGGCTTTCTCAGTGATTGTCATACGAAGGTAGCAACATACACCTTAGGACCTCACAGAAAGTGGATGAGAAAAGGTTTCCAAGTGGAGAACTTAGATACAACCTCCTGTGACTACAATTCTGCCTCCTTTGAGACTGTTCTGTCTTCTCCACTCCTTCTTCTGTCCCTCCCCTTTCTAATTTCTCCACCCTTATAGACCTATATATTTTTTCTTTAATCTGTTTCTTTGCTTTTTATGGTTTTGTTTCTCTGTTTCTTTTTTATTGTCATTGTGTCTGTGCCTAATTACTTATCTTCTCTCTTCATCTTTTTAGTCTTCCTGTGTCTTCATTTTCTCTCTCTCTCTCTGTGACTATGTCTGTCTCTCTGTCTCTGTCTCTCTCTGTCTGTCTGTCTCTCTCTTTCTCTCTTTGCATGTGAGAATTTCCAAAGCAATAGCCTAGAAAGCCAGATGATCTTATCTCTATGTTCTCTCTGACAGAATCTGACAACCTGGATTACCGTCTGGGAGCTATTCACTCCCTAGTATATAAGCTTCCAGAAAAGAATCGGGAGATGCTGGAACTTCTGATAAGACACTTGGTCAAGTAAGTAACTTCTGGATTTTCAGGAAGAGTTCCTGTTAGAGAAGTGGCTCACATGGAAGGACTTCAAAAAAACTACTGAATTTATTGAGTACCAGCTACCAACTTTTTCTTGGACCAGCTGAGTATACTCTTTGGAAGGTCATTTTTGCCTTTGCCCTTGATTGTGTCTTCCTAGAGTCATTAGGCCCCCAGACTGTCTCAGTGGGAAGGTAGCAATAAGATGGTGTGTATCAGAAATAGACTTTACTGTCAGATAAACCTAGTTTTGAAAGCCAGATCTACAATTTATTTAGCTATCTAATCTTAGGCCACCGTCCCTGAGCCTCTTTGTGTTCATATTTACAATGGGAATAGTGATGGCTATGAAGCAGGAGTGTGGTGGATTCAAATGAAATGAAGGAAGGAAGGAAGGAAGGAAGGAAGGAAGGAAGGAGGGAGGGAGGGAGGGAGGGAAGGAAGGAAAAAGAAAGATGGGAGGGAGGGAGAAAGAAAAGAAGTAAGGAAGAAGAAAGGAAAGGAAAGGGAAAGAGGAAAGAGGAAAGGAGTGAGAGATGAAATGAGAGACACTAACATTCTGGTCAACCTCCTGCCCTGGTGTGGTAAGAGACATAGAAGGGGGTTACATGTGTCCACGTGATATTTCCAGGAGAGGATTCAGTGTTGAAAACAAAGATGAATTTACTTGGCTCAAAAAAGACAGAAAACATTCTGTTCAAAAGTTAGCACACCTGGGGTTCTAGTTTCAGTTCTGTGTCTAGAACTCTGGCCTCTCTTGATATATTAAACAGTAATATAAAAATAATCCTAGAAGAATTATAATACATTTGAAACATATATTTAGCAAATAAGACTATCTGAACAACCCCCAAAATGTAGTAATGCCATATTTAACTTTGTTTAGAGAGAATCTCAAGCATCTAAAATCCAGGCTCTTAGTGAAGCTAAGATCTGTGACCAAGGCCCCTCTTAGTTTCCTCTGGTGATATAGATCTTGAGCACTCTGTCTATCTGGGCCTCAAGTTTTCCTGTGATGTGAGGTATCTCTAAAGATCTGATCTAGTTTGGACCTTGTAAAACAAGTTTTGGCACTTCTATAACAAATGAATATTAAAGATACTGATGTAGATAATAATCAGAATTACTTGTTAACTCAAGTTAAACAAAAGATGACACTTTTGTTTCTTGCAATATTTACAGCTAAGGGTAATAGAGAGCATTAAGAAACATTTTCTCTATAAAAAGTAGTCTGTTGTAATCTTAGTAAAAACACAAAAATCAACAAAGAAATTATTTGCATGTTAATTTGAAGTTGCTAAAAGAAAAGTGACTTTGAGTTCAGTTTTCATATCTATCCCTAATATATTATGTGGCCTAAATAAAGTCATGCCACTCTTGGGGTCTATGTTTGTTAATGTATAGCTTCTTCATCTATAGCTTGAGGAAACTAGATCATCTAGTTTTGAAGAGTTCATTTAGCTGTGACTTTCTGGAAGTGTAATATGTACCAGAGCTAGAGACTCATGATAATGCCGCTGCTGATCATGAGTGACAGGGTACGTGTCTCCATCTACCCATCTACCTGGTTTACTTCAACAAACCTAGTCCTTCAAATCTTTGAAACAAAAAAAAAAATGTTTCTATAGGTCACAGAAATATAAAAATGAACATCCTTTAATGTGTGAAAATTTAATGCTCAAACTCACCATAAATGTAAATTAAACTTGTACTGAGTTCCCATTTGTTAACTGATTCCAATGTACAGTTCTGTCAATGAGATTATAGGAAAACAGGAACTCTGTATTAATTGTAATATTAATTCAGTATGCTCTTAAAGGGGGGCATTTGGAACTATCTAACACATATGTATGCTCATTTACACTTTTATCTAGCAATCACACATTTAGGATTCTACTCTAAAGGCACACCTCCAAAAACTCAAAACAACATATGTGCAAGGTTTGTCACTACAGCATGGTTTCAGTAATGACTGATTGAATACAATACAAATGTCCAACACTGGGGAACTTAGAAAATAAGAGATATTCAACCATGTAGTATTCTTCAGTCATTAAGAAAGAATAAGAACCATGTCAATGAAGTTTGTTTTTATAGGGGCATTAGAAATTTTAGTATATAATGCAAGCAAGAACAGGAACAAAAGACCCAAGGGGAGTTTTATGGTATATATGTTTCAACAAATTTATAAAAATAATAATACAAGTCCAAAAATAAAATTAAAAAAGACAAATTTTATGAAACTTAAAACTGAACACCAAATGAGCAAATGAATCTAAATGTTTATTAATTTGATAATATAATCATACAGAGAAAACAGTTATTTCAACTAAGTTGTCTGCACAGTCCTCTGACTCATCCTTAATGAGATGGCCTTGAAAAAATAGAGGAGCTAAAAAGAAAAAGTTTAGACATATTACATTGCTAGATTTTATAATTACAAATATTATCTCATATTTTTAACATTTGAAGGGTTTTTTTTTGTTTTTTTAAATTTTTTTAGCTATTGTGAAAAAAGCAGGAATAAAAATGGATGTACAAGTATCTCTACAGTAGGATGAGTCCTTTGGGTATATGCCAAGGATTCTTATAACCAGATCCTGTGGTAGATTCATTTTTAGTTTTTTAAGGGTTTGCCACACTGCTTTCCACAGTGGCAAGAGTTTGCAATCCCACCAGCAGTGAATGAGCATTCTACTTTCTCCACATCTTCACCAGCATTTTGTATCATTTATTCTCTTGATCTTAGCCAGTCTGATAGGGGTAAGGTGATATCTTAGGTTGGCTTTAATTTACATTTCCATGAATACTAACAATGTTGAACAGTTTTTTGAGATGTTTCTTAACCATCTTTATTTCTTTGTTTGAGAATCAGTCATGTTAATGTCCCAAAATGTCCCTAGGTGCAAGTTCATTCACTGAGGTCTAATCTGTCTAGAGTCACTCCCTTAAAAAAGATTGGCTCACTTATTTTCTTGGGTTGTTTTTTTTTTTTTTGAGTTATTTGTATATTCTGAATATTAATCCTCTGTTGAATGTTTAGCTGGTGAATATTTTTCTCCCACTCAGTGTGTTTCCTCTTCACTTCTTTGGTTGTTTCTTTTACTGTACAGAACTTTTTAGGGGAATATAGAGATGGCTAAGCAGTTAAGAGAGCTAGCTTTTCTTGCAGAGGACCCAGGTTTGGTTCCCAGCACCCAAATGGTGGCCAACAGCCATCCTTAACTCCAATTCCAGGGAATCCAACGCCCTCTTTTGACCTCTGCAGGCATGGCAACACATGAGTGCACTTACATAACACACAGGCAATGCACTCATACACATAAAAATAACAATAAAACGAAATGTTATTTAAAAGAAGCTTTTTAGTTTAATGATGTCCCATTTTTCAATTACTGACCTTAATGCTTGAGTAACTAATGGATGTCCATTTAGATAGTTCTTTTCTACACCTATATCTTGTAGGGTACTGCCTATGTTTTTTCTATCAGTTTCAGAGTTTCAGGTTTAATAGTGAGGTCTCTGATCCATTTGGAGTTAACTTTTGTGAGTGACTCTTCTAGATAGGCTGACTAGATTCCAGTGGATGAACTTGCACCAAGGGACATCTGAGTACAAAAGCTTGACTTGACAGGCCTTAACATATATGACAAAATACATGAAATCTGGTGGAGAGCTATTGGGGGGTGCAAATGGGGTAGGAAGTCTAAATATGATTAAATTTACTGTAAGAAGTGCACAAAAATTCAAAAAAATACATTAAAAATAAAAATATAAATGTCAATTTTTTGTGTATTTCATACATGTGTATTTATATCATTTACACCTCTCCTCTTTCTCCCCCCAATTGTTCCTGTATGCTCCCACTCCCTCTCAGTCTCTCTTCCATATATATATA